GTTGTTTTCTCCTCTGGATTGCTTATCCCACCTATCGTATCTAGATAGACATGCAGAGATAATAATAAGACATAGCAAAACAAAAGAAAAAAAAACCACCACCACCAAAAAAAGAAAAGCCTATAAATAGTTCCAGGTCTGTTTGTTGACCTTAAGAGTGTTTTCCCATCCAGTCTGATCGGGTGCCACACCCTGGCCCCAAAGTCTATTTTTGGTATTCCCCAGGGAATTAATTGCTTTTCTCCCCTTGTTGCTCTGTTGCACACCCTTAGCATTTCGCCTCCGTGAGTTTTGAGTTTTAATGACTCTATACACAGCAATAATAATGAAAACTTTTAAAACAAGGTACTCAACTTTTATAAGAACCAATTTACAACAGAGTTATTGGAACTTCTAAGAGTTTTTTTTTTATGGCCAACAAAGTTTTCCGCATCTACTAAACTCATCAGAGAGCAAACATTTTTTAAGTGTTTTATTTATGGGCTCCTTTCAGCCCTGACTTCCACGTAGCACATGCTATCTTTGGTTTTGTGATAACACTCTCCCCAAGTTCTCTTAGGACCCTGAACAGTTGTTTCTCAATCTGAGTTCTTCTGCTCAGTCTTTAATGCTGACATTCACCCAGCGCTCTGTACTTGGCCTTCTAGTCCTATTTCCTTTTGGGTATAACCTCAACCAATCCTGTAACTTCAATAATTCCCTCTATGTCCAATGCTCAAGTCTCTCACATATTCACACTTTTCCACTAAACCCCAGATCCTTAAGCTGCAACATCTAAGATGCCCCCTGGGAAACTTCGAGTCACCAGATCCAAGGCGCCCCTTGGATCATTTATTACTACTGCCCCCAAACTGTACCCCCTTCTGAATGAATAGTAGCCCTATCTGGCCAATTAACCAAATTCTTACTTCGGTAGAAAAACTTGGTTTGACTTGGAGGATACACTCCTCTCGTTCCCTCATGCCTCACAATTAACCTGTTGCCATAACACAAAAGAAGAA